CGTCTTTCCCCAGACTACATATGCTCCATTGTAGAATCCCCTACGTGTAATTTGCCTTGCGCTTACTGGCAGGGCTCCTGATATTTCAGAAGTGCCAGGCTAGAAAAGAATGACTTACTTAATCATAAAGATAAGAAAGTGATAAACCCATAAGACAAATTTTATCTTCTGACATTTTCCTATGTTCATTCCTAAATTAGCCAAGTGCAAAGACAAAGAGTGTATCAGAATATTTTCTAGGCAAGTATCTAAAAGAACAATTTCCTTTTTATTAGCAGTATCTATCTTGTACATTTAAGGATAGTTTTCCCTTGCCTAAATTGCAATTGGTAAAACTAAGTGAAAGTGAAACAAGTTCATTAATTTTAATTACATTTAATTGAAAGAATGTATTATATAATCTGAGTCAAATAAAGAACAAAAATCTATGTACTACTAAAAGTCTTGTTCCCATAATTTTAACTAGGTAAAACGGTTTATCATACGGGAACAATTTTTGAACCAAGGTACCTCAAATCCTAACTTACCTAACGTACAGAATGTATCCAAAATCCAGGACCCATGACTCCCGAGGAAACAAAATTTGGTAAACTTGTGGGTGCTTCAGTGCTGCCAAACTCTTGTTGCTTCAGCCTTGCCAGGCTGTTGCTGCAGTCACGTAATGCCTATTTTGAACATTCTATGACAGTTTCTCAGCCATTCTTGTAATCCCTTGCTCCCTTCCCCATCCAGCAGCATCCATTTAGCTGCCGACTGGCTTTGGACTTGCAATTTCCTGCTGGCTTCCCTACTGATTTTTCTCCCTGCAGGCTTCCCACAAGCAAAGTAAAGTAAATGGGCAAGCCAGCAAGAATTAGAGGAGGGAGGGAGGGAGAAAGGAAGATTTTTTTGCTTTTTTGCCCACCATAGTTATTTCGTTTCCCTTTTTAGATAATGATATATCTCTAAATCAATGACCTAACAGGGCATGGGATGTCTGATATTAAATAATCCTAAAATACTTTTAAGTCCTTCTGTGCAAGTATTAAGTATTAAGTATTTCTCAGGCACTTCTAGGCTCCTCATGCTATTGTATTCTGAATGTATCCACAGGAGACTTTTCGATTTCTAACATGCAGTCCATAACATTCAAGTCTGCAGAAGCTTCGTCTGTCAGTATCAAAT